GAGAGAGAGAGAGAGAGAGAGAGAGAGAGAGAGAGAGAGAGAGTCTCAAAAATAAATAAACAAATAAAATAAAATTCAATACTTTAAAAGTCAGAGTTTTCTTTAAAAACCCACATCTCTTAATTTGGGCTCCTGCAAAATGAAAAATAAGTTACATGTTTCTTATTTCAAGAAACTAAGAACCAGGATGCAGTTCAAATCAAATCAAAGCAACATTGATACCCAGCATCATAAATTGAGTCCTGTAGCCTAGAGCTTAGTGTGGTATCTGAGACTCGCTTAAAATTTTCCGGATTCCAAAAGGTTTGGACAACTCCATTTCTCAGGCACCGTCATCTTTAAAGCACCCAGCTTGTCACAGGCTCAGGCCAGCTCCATTCTGCATCTGCTGGGGTCCTTAGTGGTCACACACTGGTCCCAGTGTCTTCAATAGGCTCGTGGTCTCCACTGCAGCTGAGGTTGTATCATCACCAATGGCCTCCCACAGCGCCAAGCCTCAGCTGCTCTCCATGACCCCTTCCATCCTGCAGCTGCCATGCTGCCCAAGTCAGTATCACCTGGGAGACTCCTAGATATCACCAAGTTTGGCTGCCAGCTTAACATGCAGCCTTGGCCCCCCTGGAAACCATCATCATGGAAAAAAGTGACATGGAGATATCCATGGCATGTTTATTAATTGAGCCATTTATTCCTTCAATAGACTTTTTTTTTTTTTTTTTTTTTTTTTTAAAGAATGCCTACAGTGCTCCAGGCGTCACAAGGTAGATATAAGCCTCTTCCTCTCCAGGAGGTCAGGGTATGACGGGAGACACAGCCACATAGGCCAGTCATCACAATACAGATGATGGCGATTATGGCAGGAAGAAGGTGTTGCATTCTGGAGGAAAGGCCTTCCACAGAAGTCTGAAGATGGGCTCAGGTTGATCTAGTGTTAAGGGAGGGAAGGGCCTCCAGAGTGCCGAGTCACCTGAACAATGGGGAGAGATTATCATGGAGTGTAGCAATGCATACAGCCGGAGGGAATGGACGCACAAAGCGAGAGGCCCTGGACCACCGCTCAGTAGTCACGACTTCTGAATCGGACATCTGGCGGCTGTGGAAGTGTTCCAAGCAGCCTGGTGATGTAACCACATTCTAGAGCAGCCCCGGTAGTGGTGGTTTGGGAACAGAGGAGGGGGTATATGGTGCTGTGAGCAGCTGGACCCTGGACTGCCAGTGTCCACTGCCATAACGCATGCTCTTCTGCATGGCTGTGTCCTTCCTCAGGAGCAAGGCCGCACGCTGAGGAAGACCATGCTGGAGTTGGAGAAGCAAGGCTTGGAAGCCATGGAAGAGATCCTGAGCAGCCCCGAGCCCCCAGACCCTGCCGAGGTGGGGGACCTTTTCTATGACTGTGTGGACACCGAGATGAAGTTCTTTAAGTGATGTAAGCATCCTCGCCCTTAGTTCAAACCTCCCACCCAACTAAATTACCAGCAGAGAAACACTCTTCTGTTTGAGTAAAACGAGACTTACCATGTGGCCTCCTTGTGTCTAAATGTTCCCTCTGTTCAGCCTAGCACCCTCCCCGCTTCGCTATGTAACTCAACCCCACATGCCTCCTGCTCCATTGTGTGATAAGCTTCAGGCTTGAAGACCTTCTTGTATTTCAGTGACAATGGTCACCTTAGGAGAGCTAGAGTTCCCTCAGCCTTGGACAGGGCTGCAGGGCCTCGCTGGTAGGAAAGACAAGAGCCGTGAAGGTCCTGGTCCCTCTCTAGATAGTGATTTCTTCAAGGCTAACAAATGGCTTTTGTTTATACTGAAGGCTTTGATGTGTGTAGAAGGGGGAGAACCCCACCCCCCAGCCTTCCTCCACAAAGCACAGGCTTACGCGTAGTTCACAGTCCCCACAGGTTATGTCTTGGGAAACAAAGCCAATGGGGATGAACAGAGGAGCCCCGGGTACAGTCCCAGCTCTGCCCCAGTGTGTGTGACTCTGAAAGATCTGTCTTCTGTGAGCTGTGTTCATGCGCGGTGGACCAGACCTGCTTCCACATATATGTGGGAGAGCTGGGCATCCATGTTATCTGGACCTCCCCATCCATCATTGTATCCACTCGAGGACATGGCCCTGTGCAGAAATGACTTGTGACTTGATTGTCAGCACCTTGTATAAGGGTCATTAAATGGCCCCGGGCAGAGTTCACAGAGCTGCAAATGAGGGGAAGAAAAGGGACACTCTTGACTGCTGAAGGCACCTGGGATCCGGGCAGCCGCTGTCTCAGTAGACACTGGAACTAAACTCGTTTGTTTCCCACACCATTGGGTTGCAAAAAGAATTTGACTCCACAGGAGTTGTGTGAGGAAGACAGAGCAGGTTGGGGACAGACAGCTGTGCCCACTGCCTGGTTAACTAGACCCCACAAATCAGTGTGCTGAGCACCTGACCTCCAGGGTCTCCCCACTTAGTTCTCATGCCCCGCTGTCCAGCAGCTGCCTTTGGACTGGTGTCTTGAAGGAGCGAGAGGATGTGGGTGCTTATCCACTGCCACTCTCCACTACTCCCGAAGGGGCCACGGGGTAAAGATGACCGTCAGAAGTGTAGATGAGAGGACCAGAGCTAGTGGGGGGTGCTGCAGGGCCCAGTTATCTGTTGTCGGTTTTGACAGGGCTGAGCAAACACAAACTGTTCCTCAGTGATCTCGGGCATGGTGTGGGGTCACCGCATTCTTCTTTACGGCCGTACTGTGGGCTGTGAGCTGGCGGGTACCTGGGCCCTCATTTCACAATGCAGGCCACGGGTTTTATTGGGACAAATCTTGGTCTCTTTCAGCCCTCCTTTAAGAGGGTGGGGTGTGGGCTGTGAGTCCCTTTCTTGACTGTTTTGTGAGTTCCATGCGTAAACAAATGGCAAAACATGAGAGATGGGACAAGTTCATGTCGACCAAATGACAGCTTGCAGTTGCTGGAGCTTTGGGCAGGCTGAGCCTGGCATCTAATGCTGATGAACAGAGGGGCACAGGGAGAGCAGCTAAGTCGAAAGTGCGCGCAGGTGCAAAGGGGAACGGGGTGATGTTTGAGGAGACAATAGCTGCCTGTCCAACCCCACCTGCTGAGTTATTTAAGGAAGGTGATGCTGAAAGCCATCCTGGGGTTTCCCTGTGTGGTCTCACCTCCACCTGTGAGGCCAGCTCATCAGCTCTGACCTGCCTGAGACAGCCAAGGTGATTCAGGGTTTGATCAGAAGTCTAGTGAAAGTGAATAGTAACACAACGACCTTCTTTCAGTACTTTGGCCAAGGTTGCAGATGGCTGTGCTGACTTGATGTCGTTACCCAGGTGGGCACTGCAGAACACAGTAGCTATTTCTGTTATTGGATATTGAGTTCAGTCCGGCATCACAGGAAAAAGGCCAACCCTCCTGCTTGGAGCGTTGTACACCTCAACCATGGTGTCCTTTTACCACTAGAGGGCGCAGGAGCCCTCTGTGGGCAGCCTGGCAGACCTTGGGGGGGGGGCGGGTAGTTTTTCCCCTCAAGCAGTGGACAGAGCTGGGAACAGAAGTTTTTCTTGCTGGGATGGGTGGGAACGGACACCAGGACAGGAAGGAATCTGGCAGGTGCCTGCATGCGCTTCAGTGACTTTATCTAAATTAACAGCAGAAATGATCCTGGATTTTGAGTAGGCAGATGTAGAAGAATATTTGTTTTAAAACGCTCCTAATGGATTTCTCTTTGAAGAAATGCTTCTTACGTGGGTAATTTCTTAATTGGGGTTGGCTTTCTGAACATGGAGAAAATAGATATTCAGGATGAAATACAAATGGAATGTTTAAGATCACTCTGTAAATAACTTCCCAGAAGACCACCCTATAGCTATTAAGTCTCGAGGGTGGGGGATCCTGAGCACACTTTGTGCAGAAATAAGTCATGAGCATTAAGGACAGACTGCCTGCCCCCACCTGCCCCACAGAACCTAACGATAAGCTAGCTAGTCTTGTGTGGATGAGATTTCCACTAAGTGAAAACAGCATCATGGGGGGGGGGGAGCAGACACTTGAGTGGACATAAGTTAGTGAATAGGAAACAGTCTTTACCATTCTTGGGGGTGACTCGAAGCTGGGATAGAATTAGGACCTGATAAAAGCCATGGAGACTTAGCCTAACACGAGACCCAGTGTTTGTGGCCGTCAGCCTCACGAGCTGCTGAAGCCGGTGTATGCCTAGTGGATCTCGGTGGCGACACTCCATTACTGCTACGTGAATCAGCAGCTATAACAAGTCATTGTCAACCACAAAAAATAATGTCATCCCACACTGTTACAGGTGATACCACACCATGCAGGCCCACAGGGCAGCCAGGCGTGCACGTCTTGAAATCGCTGGCTGCATTCTTTTATTGCAAAGGTCTCAGCTTTGGGAGAAAACACGGAGGTGGGGGGGGGGGGAATCTAGGGGAGGGACCCTGGAGGCGAGTAGTGGCAGGTGCGGGCAAGCATCCCAGCTCCTCTGCGCCTCCCTTAGCTGTGCTGTGTTTTATTCCACGCGGAGCTGAGTCTTGGCTCCTGTTCTGTGGTCTGTGTCCAAATGTATTTTATCTGACTGAAGGCAGCCATCCTGAAATGTCACACTCAGAATTCCTGCAGACACCACTAAGTACATGTCTTTAATCATCTTGTGAGAACTGAAATGCCATAGCTGGAGCAGCGTCACCGAGAACCCTTGTTTCCTGTCGGGGGAACGGACTGTGTGGTCTTACAGCCTTTTGTACAAATCTCTACAAGTCAAGTAATGTCCCCATCCAGTGCTTGCCCTCGGGAGTGTCTTTAAATGCACCAAATGTACAATAAAAATATCGAAGTCCATGCCTAGGGGCCTCCTCTTGTTTGTGCTTCGTGAACACGGGCGGCACCAGTCACAAGACGAACGCGTGAAAGAGCTGTGCTTTTCTGAACATAATCTTTAGAAAACTCAGGCACCTCGGCAGGGCCCCGCACTCTGTACCACTGTGAAGACGAATTCACTATTTAAAAATAACCCCCAGACTATGACCATATGCCGCTTAGCTCCATCAGAACAGCAGCAGCAAGAACCGACTGCCCTGCAGACCCAAAGCTGCAGGGTCTCCACAATACAGGGCAACAGCAGGACACCCAAGAGGAGTCCCAGTGAGGGCCCGGCATCCATAGTACAGCAGAAACCAGTGGCCTTGAATTCATAGTACAGCAGAAACCAGAGGCCTCTAACCAGACCAATGACTCTGCAGTGAACACTTGCAAGTAAAGATACAGGGGCAAAAGGGTTTACGGCGGGACTCACTGTGTCACATTATTACAGTTTCCATGATGAGATACCCCCCACCCCCTCACCCCCCAACCCCCCAACCCCCGGGCACACGGGCACATGCACATTTTTTCTTTTCTTTTTTCTCTTAAATCTTATTGGGGAAGGGGCTGCAAGGCCAGAGGGTGAATACGCGGGGACGGGAAATGAATGGGATCGAGAAGAATGATGTGAAAGACACAAAGAATAAATAAAAAGAAAGTTAAAAAAAAAAAAAGAATCGACTACCACGTGGGGAGCTGGAGGCATCATGCATGGCTAGCAGAAATGAAAATGGTCACCCATTGTAGAATACGGAGATTTTTCAACACATTCCATATGCCCCAGCGATTCCACTTCCTAGTGTGTACCAATAGAGTTGAGGACAGGGCTGGAAAATACGCCTGTTGCGTCACCTTCCTAGTTTGTTAAATGATCTCTAGGTAAGTGGATGGATGGTTACATAACGTGGTGTATCTGTGCAACGGAGGACTAGTCAGCCTCCAAAGGAAAGGGCCATTCTGATACATGCCACAATATGTGTGAACATTCTGGACAGTATAGTGGGCAAAGTGAATTAGTCACAAGAAGACATACATAACTCTGTTTATAGGAAATACCTAGAGGGAACAAATCCATAGACTGCTTGCTTTCCAGAGTGTGGGGTGTGCCCTTACTTAGCTCTGGGACCCAAGTGTTCAGGGTGTGACGGTGTGGCTTTATCACTAAGTGTCCACGTATACGTTTATACCCCGATTTGGCTGATGAGGAAACTGAGGCACACCCAAGTAATTTAATCCCCCAAACTCAAGAGGTTCATATTCGTGCCCACCTTTCAACTCTAGTCTCAGCCAGCTCCAAGCAGAGGAGCCTCATCTCCTCGTTTCCAGGCTCCAGAGTGTCCACTAGAAACACAACGTGGAGGTGAGAGGACTCTGCTCGGCAGAGAAGGCTCTTTTGAAGAGCTTGCTGAGTGTCAGGGGAGAGCCTAAGTGCTTTAGGTTGAAGGTTTCCTGAGTGTTGCATGCCTAAGGCCCTGGATTCAGTTCCTAGTACTGCAAAATAGTTAAAAACCAAACCTTCCCCATTTTAACACACTGGCAGAATTTATAAGCAACATACTTGGCCCATACTGTAGTAATAAAACTGGTAAGTATATTGTTATCTATATTAAAAATGCATATGCAAAGTTTTCTTCCCTCCTGCATTTTTGGCTTTTCAAACAACAACAGAAAAGATTTCCAAAGGGGTCTAGAGGGATGGCTCAGCGGCTGAGTGATAATTGCTTAGTGCTTTGGGGGCAAATTTGACATCGTCAACGAAGATGGGAGACCTGAATGTGGACCTGGAAAGGGAAGCTGTGTCAGCCAGACGGAGCCCAGTGCCAGGGGTACGTAGTGATGAGCTACCCGAGGCAGGCCAGGGCAGGCCAAGAGACACACGGCTACACGTTTTAGTCGCTCTTTCAGTAAAGCTAACAGCCATTTACAAAGGCTAATGTCAAAGCAGACTTTTGATTTCTGGAGAGGCGACTGGAAAGGGTCCTTTTCCTTGGCAAAGAGGGGCAAGTAGGCACAGTACTCTGGGACAGGGCAGAACAGGACCAGAGGACTCAAATTCAATTCCCAACGCCCATGTTGGAAAGCACACAACCACCTGTCACTCTAGTTCCAGGAGATCTGACACCCTCTTCTCTGTGGGTACCTGTGCACAGGGCATACACACATAGATGCATATACATCAATAAAAATAAATATATTTTAAAGGTGCTACTCCAGAAATCTCTGGCCTTTGTTTAAGCCCTCCCAATCCTCAAAGATGCGTCTTAGTACTTGTCTAACTGTTACACACTGCATTCCTGCACCACAGCCTCATATCATATTCCAGAAACGTGTGCAGTCATCACATGTCAATCAAAGAGGCTTAGATCAGCACTGGTGATCACAGGTGGGTTTTGCAGGGAAACAACCACAGACACTGCCACTTATTAAAGTTTATTGGACAAAGGAATGAGTCTGCAGTAGGAGACGCCGAGAAATACAAAATATAGGTGGGACACTGGGGAGTCACAGTCTGCAATGTGAGGGGAGGCAAGGACGGCAGCGACGCCTGCACATGTGAGTTCACGGTCAAGGGCCCAACCTGTACACTGCTGGTGGGAACTGGACGTACCCACTAGAACTTGGAGGGTTGTAGCTTCTTCAGTGACAGGTCTTGAGGAGAGCTGCTAGGCCAGATCCCTGAGAATGCTTCCTGCTTGCTGTTTTTGGTTTCTGCTTGTTCTTCCCCTCTGTCTTTAAATAGCTTTAAAAATTATTTATTGGTTGTATGTACGTGTGTGTGCGCGCGCACGTGCATGCGTGCATGCATGTAAATGAAGGCACATCTGTGCACATGCCAATGGAGGCCAAAGGCCAACAACAGGTGTCTTTTTCGTTCTCTCTACCTTATTAGAGTTTCTTACTAAACCTGCAGCTCGCTAATTTGGAGAGGTTGGCTGGCCACTGACCTTCTTGGGATCAGCTGTCTCTACTTAACTCATATGACCTGGGCTACAGACATTCACCCCCATGCCTGGCTTTTATGTGGGTCTTGGGGATATGAACACAGGTCCTCAGGCTTGGGCAGCAGGCAGTCTACTGACTGAGACATCTCCCTAACCACTCTTGAATAGTTTTCATTTCTGTCCCATTACTGTAGAACATGATGACATGAATAACTCACTGGACAAGCAGTCTACTGCACAGGCAGGTCTGCCTTGCTGATGGCCCTCCTTGCAATTATTAAAGCATCTGATGATTATTACTTCACATGGCTGGGAGTAGAGGGGAGTGGAGCCTGACCTTTCTGCCAACTTTCAGAACCAACACAACAAATCAGCAACATGGAAACTTCATGGCCCTTCATGTAGTTGTCACGATGGCTTGAGTCATGTCCCAGAGAGGGGAACTTGACCCTGGTTCACTTTCTACTATCTGGAATTGGAAAGCACAACACCATCATAGGATGTTCGCTCCAAAAAGCAGTCAAGTTCTGCAGACACATGGTTGAATGCTCTCCCTGTCCATCATCTCTGGGTGACCTGGCCTGGGCTAATGTTCTTGTTGGCGTGAGTGCCGGAGTGGAGTGCTCCAAAGCACACCGCTGCTCGCTGCCCCTCTCCCCCTTAGCAGCTATTCTGAGCACAGTGCAGGGATCCCGTTCCTTCTCTTTCTCCCCTTCTCTGCTACAGCCTCCCCATTCCAGTTGATGGGAGCATCTGGGGCCTGACAAAAGAGAAAGCATGCTTCCCTCCTTGAGGCTCCAAAAAGGGTGTAAAGAGCAGCCTCAGCCTGGCTTGGCCCTCTGTCTACTCAGGGCAGCTGAACCTGACACATATATCTGCCTGCCGCCCCAGGTACACACCACAGAGCAAGAGAGCCATCAGACACGCGTGCTCTTCACACGCCCTGGGGCTGACAGGTGTTCTGGGATCCCTACCAATGGAATACTTGGTTCTTTTGTATGTGTTTGTATATGGGTACATATGTTCCTGTGTGGAGTGTGCATGCACATGTATGTGTGAGCCTGGAGAGGCCAGAGGTCAACTTTGGGTATTGTGGCCTCAGGAGTTGCCCACCTTGTATTTAAGATAATGCCGCTGTCTGGGACCTGGGGCTCCCTGATTAGCCTGGCTGGCCAGTGAGTCCCAGGGATCTGGTTGCCCCTGCTTCCTCAGCAATAGGATAACAAGTGTGTCCCTCCACTTCCAGCTTTATGTGGGCACTGGCAATTGAACTCAGATACCAACGGAGCTATTGCCCCAGCCTCGTTTTGTTCTTTTTTAAACATATGTTGTATTTCTCATGTAAATCCTACACTCAAGGTGGGGTTGTGGGGAGGGAGACCTCTGAGGTAAAAATACGCTTATCATAATCATGAGCTATGTACATTTGTTATCTGCAGGGGTGACAAGATATCAAAATCTCATAAAGCTGACTTTACCCTGGCTACCAGGAAGGAGCTGGAACCTGGGAGGGGCAGAGGGAAAGCGATGGAGCCTGGGCACTAGGGTTGCTGTAAACAGTGAAAGCATTGGCTACTTGTAAAAGAATTCAGGTACAAAAGGGGCCCCTGCGGAAGGCATGTGAGGGGCCACGCCCTCTCTAATCTTTGCATTGGGATATATTTACATTAGGCAGCAAAATGACATCCCTGTACTGATAGAAAGAAGCGAGACGTGGCATCTCGCTCCCTGGAGGCTGTGTGGCACTGGGGGACCTGGGGACACAGCGCTTCCTCTGAGCTGCAGTGTTTATAAGGCATTGTCTGGTTTGATTTTGCAGTTGGTATGATGAGAGTCGTGCCAATAAGAAGCTGTTGTGGATATTTATGACTTTGGGACTGCTTGAAAACTAAGGATGCTCTGAAAAATGTTTCAGAATCTAGGAACGACCAGCCTGCAAGCATATTTTACAGTCACAGTGGACACTACAGGGTGGGATAGGGCTCTATCTGTACAAGACAGACAAATGCCAAGATGCATATTTAAAAATATTAAAAT